AACTATATTTGACTACCGCCCAATAGGGGCCGCTACTGAGCCATATTTGCTAAAACGTACGATTTTTTTCTACAGTCTGGAAAAAGTTGTGGGCTGTGACATGCATTCCAAATTTAAAGGCTGTAACTCATTTTTTCCCCTACTTATGGCTCGCTAAATTTTTTAACCCTTCGATTTCGAGAAAAAACTGAATAGGACACGCCCACATTTTTCATTGGTTGCGACCCTTTAAATCTCAGTTTATACTCACCCTGCCAGTGACTATGACAACATATATTTTTTTAGTCCATTGGTTCTTGAGATATAAATTAGTTGTGTTTTTGGCGCCCCCTATTGTCCGAAATGAACATTGTTTGTTGTGCCTATTTACCAAGACACACTGAACCTGTCCACCGACATCTGTGATATTTGGATACATTTTGGATGAATTGTGAGCATTTATGTGTAGGCCACACCTTTTTGCTAATACGTTTTGATTGATGTCGGCCACATTTTTCCACACCTCGTGCTCATTTTCTACGGTAATGTGTCTGACCCTCCACTGAAGCTGTGCACTAAGTTTGGTGTGGACAATCAAGAAATTGGAATTTCAGTTAATATTTCACTGTTTTTCACATTATGCTAATTAAAAAAAATCAAAGTAGGCGGAGCTTCGGGATTTCATGGGGATTTTTAGATAATATGTAGAGTTGCTGCACCCGGATAAGTGTGCAAAGTCTCAGGTCCGTCAGAGTTAGGCTGCGACTTTGTAAATGTTTCGAAAAACTGCATTTACACAGGTGGCGCTAGAGAGCAAGTTGGACATTTTTCACCCATCGAATCCAGAATGTTAACATTTTCACCCGTTCTGCCGGCGTTGCCAAATGTCGCTACATGAATAGTGTCGTAACCCCCTCAAAAACAGGTCGAAAGTGCAGAACCGGTAAAATAATAATAAAAAATCTGACGATTTCAATAGGTCTTTGCACTTCGTGCTCAGGCCCTAATAATTTTAAGGATTTCAATAGGTCTTTTTTCAATAGGTCTTTGCACTTCGTGCTCAGCCCTAATAAGAATAATAATTTTAAGGATTTCAATAGGTCTTTGCACTTCGTGCTCAGGCCCTAATAATACCATGGATTTCAATAGGTCTTTTTTCAATAGGTCTTTGCACTTCGTGCTCAGGCCCTAATAATACTGACGATTTCAATAGGTCTTTGCACTTTGTGCTCAGGCCCTAATAATACAGCTATAGCACAACACAACCCTCTCACTGCCTGGAGAGACGCGACGCCACACACACAACGCAATGATGCACATAGCTCTTCAGCCCCCAAGTTAACGTTAGCTGTCAAGTTAGCACTAGCACTGACGTTAGCTCCCTCCTCTCTCGGTTCTGTTGTAGCAGCAGTCACAACGTACAATGTGCTACCACCAGCTACATTCGGTTGGTCTTCTTGATCAGGTTGTTTGGCCGTCTTTTTAAAGAAATTGCCCAAGGTAAGTTGTTTTTTTCTTTTCGACATGTCAGCAGCAGCAACAATGCCTGGTAAACATGCAGTGCTAACTAAACGAGCTTGTGAGTGAGTGGGTAGTGGGTGGAGCTGCGGGCAGCGTGCAAGCAGGTGACACTTTTTTCATGAATCATAAACTCTAAATATAATTTTATTTCACTTATTTTACACCTTTGAAAAAAAAAACATGCCAAAAATGGAATTTATTTGGTCATCATATCAGTATTTTAGAGAGCTCCCCCCAAATTTCACAAACCATGTTAAGCTCATGTCACCACTAGGAGAGCTATAGCTCCCCCTGCTCCCCTCCAGTTCGCACCCTGTCTGGGACGCTTCTGGGACGCTTCTGAGACGATTCTGAGCCGTAACACGGCGCGTGTGGTGGAATAGCACCCATTGACTAGAGTGGCCGCGATCCCTACGACCGCCGCGGCGCAGCCGTAACACGGCGCGGCGCAGACGGACCCGGTGGAAACTGGGGGTAAGCCCTCTCCTCTGACTCCCTTGAGCTTAGACAAAAATAAGAAGGAAATACAATAAAAGTATTTGTAGGACTTTTTATATTTTGTTGCACGGTTGAAAATGTTTCGTATCTTGTATTTTGAGGTGATACTGTGACACATAAATAAAAAAACAAAACGGTTTTAATTAGGTCAACTAAAATATGCGTCACATCCTGCTACGGCCAGCGCCTTTTCCTGCAGGCGAATAACCTGACCCCCGGCTCGATGAGCGAACTATGGATAAATCAAAGAAAAGAAAAGTATAGGAGGAACACAGGATGTAATTCTGCGTGGACAGAGATATGCTTTCACAGCAAACGATACTGGTTTACCGGTATGTTTGATATGTAGAGAGAAGTTGTCAAAGGTGCTGCAGCCTTGGGTCCTTCTCAGGTCGATTATTTTCATTTCCTCGCTCCTCTGTATCACCGGAAGTTGATTTGTCTGCGCCATCTTGAGTACCGTCCCATGGCGCTTATTTCGAGAAGGGTCAAGCTGCAGCCGCAGCCAGTCGGTGGAGGTTGAAGCTGTAGGAAGCTGTACTTCCAAATATGGTCAGAAGAGAGCGCGCCCAACATGTGGGTTCTTTTATTTAGGGTTAAGTACATTGTCAGAATAAGTGAGAAATGGATTTAACTTCTGTTAGACAGCTATCATACTGAATAAATATTTACTGTGAATGTATGCAAAAATGTATGGCATATGGCTGTCTAACAGAAGTTAAATCCATTTCTCACTTATTCTGACAATGTACTTAACCCCAAATAAAAGAACCCAATAAAAAGAGTTGTTAAATAATAGTGAAGTCACGTTGTAATAACAATAACTTATCTGTCTCGAGTTTTCTTATTGTGTTTTGCCAAAAACCACTGTGTCAAGTGTCCTATTTGGGTTGCCGTCCGGAGTTGTCCAATATGGCGGACCATCTCGCACATGCGCACTGCAGATCGGGCAGAGCTGCAGATCGGGTAGTGACAGTCACTGTTTTGCGGCTCCAGACAAAAAAAATTGTTGGAAAAGGGAGCAAAATGGCGCTTTTGGTCAAAAATGTTGTAGACCCCTAGTCTAAGTGAATGGTGACTGTAAAAACTACACTGCGCATGCTCAGAGTATTTTCCTATGTAATGTGTGTGGCAAAAAAAGAATGACCATAGGGGCACTGAGCTGCCATCCCCACCATACGTCATCTAACATAATTCAGAGCTGATTGGCTGTAAGTACGTGTGCCGCGAAAAGTGTGGTGTGTAAAGAGGAGACGAGAGAGGTGCAGTCACGCGTCCTAAAACCCGGAAGTAAGCTGCGCATGGCTTCCCTCGACAAAAAAGCAATGAGATTTCTCCATAGGATTTTAGAAAATAGCTCAAAATAAGATCTGTGGGAAACTTACCTGTTAGATAAATGCACGTTTTGTTCAGCCGGATAATATCCACATGTCTACCCTACATTTATAATTTTCTAATCATAAATCTATCGATTAGATTTATGAATCGACTTTTGAAACTACAAGAAGATAAGGAGGACTTTTACAAAAAAGTAATAGAGATTTTTGTCCAGAAGGATAGGCAAATGGACTTCATCTTCAAGTCAAGGTCAGACCGCAATTTAATTGAAAATGGGATCTTACTAAGAAAGAACAATTCAATATTTAAATGATAAAATTACTTTTTTTGGGTATCCTTTTGTTGAACTGTCTGTTTAAAATTAATCGAAGCATCAGACTAAAAAAGCTTTTGAAAATAATATTATATTTTGATTTAGGTCAAAATATAATATTTGTAAACCTGAAGAGTCAGTGCCAGTGCCTCACCAGCCATGAACCTCACTGCACGTCACTGCAGAAGCTTATAGACATCTAAGTTTTTTGTGCCCCACCACTTTTGTACATATAAAAACGCCACTGGCCATGAATAACACGTATGAACTTGTCAATATAAACATCTGGATGAGAAAGAAAACAAATCCTAAAGTCACATAATAGATCACTTTGTTTTCAAAAAACAACAGCCAAACCATGGCAATGACATGCAGTCAATCACAAGGCAGCCCTGCCCTAAAGCATAAGCTGCTTTATCGCCAATTTTACTGTAAATGAGACAATAATTTTAAAAAATGTACCTCATACTATACTGATGAAGATTTAAAAAAATCTTAAATACGGCAATAAATCAGGTGAGAAGAAGGGCTATTTTCTCATAGACTTCTATCCAATCTGCCATCTTTCTGCAGCCATTAGAGTCGCCCTCTGCTGGAAATCTGAGAAAATAGGTTCAAGCAATCCGCATTGGTTACAGTTTTCCAACCCTGCAAGTGATGCTTTATGGGACAAGGCCTGTTGATGAATAATGTGTGTGACGAGTTTTATTCTACTGAGCAGTTTTAGACAAAACGTATATGTACTATGACAAACCGTAACTTTTCTGACATGAAAATGATCTTTAAAATTGACACGCATCATATGTGTAATTCATAGCACATATCAAATGGGATAAAAAAAAAAGTTTTGTCTCCAGCCCCTGACTGCTCTTCATAATTGATCCTACATAAGGTCTGGAGAGTGCTACAAGGTTGTCCTTTCAATAGGACTATACTATAAGTCTCAAATGAATTTGTCCAAAATCAAAACATTGTAAAGATCATAGCCTGCTCAAAATCAACACATAAACATTATAATTTTGAGCATTTTAGCATGCTGATGTTAGCATTTAACAACTCACAGGGCTCCTAGCATGACTGTAGATGTGCCTTGTTAAAGCATGAACAAAAACTGCCCATACAATGTCCATACATTTAAACACTTACACTGTAAGTATTTATTTCTACATGAACTACACTCAAATATACCTTTAATTGTCAGATAAGGATAGTCAAACATTATATAATTACTTTTCGTTGCTCGGAAGGGCCCAAAATAAACAAAGCGATGTTTGAACAGCTGTTTACTGAAGTGTGTCAGGTTACAGCGCCGGTTACAGAGGATACAGCCGGGTTGATCGGGGACTCGTACCATGAGAAAGACCGTGGACCCGTGAGCTCTGAGGTTCATGTGCTGCCAGGACAGGTATTCATTAACACGAGCACGCTGCTGCAGGTCAGCTGGGTACCAGTGATCTGCCAATGACGACGAGTGTTTCTGCAGCATGTACTTCAGGATTGCCACGCTGCAACACAAGACAGCATGGAGAAAATATGAGGAACCAAGGAATGTTTTAAAGTAGTGAAAGTGTTTCACCTCATTGCTTTTGATCTGCACTGGAAATGTAATCAAAAGGCCAGGTAACAGTAATGTTATCTCAATTTCAAAAACTAGGAAATTGTCACAGGAACTCTAATTATTAACATTAGTAGAACTTTTTTAAAGTTTACACTAAATAATCTCTTTAATTACGTTCAACAACCAGGTTGACGGTGCAGAAGTTCCTTCGTCCTTCGTCCACTATTTCCACTTCTGGGGATTTTAAGGTAATGATTAGATAAAGCTAAGCCTGTTGAATATGTTAACATCACAAACTCAACAAAACATCTTTAAAACCATCATAACTTACTTGCAGGTGTCTTAATATGAAAAGATGGATCAAACGTGGCCATTAATACTGGCTTTGAAAACAAATTGGTATCTAAAAGGAAGTCAACCATTAACCCAAGTCTTTGTTATACCTTTCCGTCAGAATGAAGCTTCCATCCTTCATGACGGGAACCTTCCTCATGACATTGATCTTTCCAAATTCCTCGCTGTACTGTTGCCCTGAGAGAAACACACACAAATCAGAATCACAGATGTGTTTGAATAAAGACAATATTTCAACCAGAAATATAAAAAGTATACATGAATGCATGGGTTCTTCCACCATTTGGCGAAGAAGGGTAAAATTAAAAACATGAAAAAAAAATGGTGTTTTTTGTAACCCTCCCAACAGCTCTGTCCTTCTTCTTTTTGTGTTCCTGTCACGTCTCTGTTATACTCGATCACCTCAGGGACGGAGGAATGTTTTGTCTGGATGCTTTGACCTTTGGCCCTCTACATTCCGCTCTCTGTTTGCCTGCAAAGATTGAAGTCTGCCGACAGGTCTGGGTGAGATGTAGCAATGTAAACTAATAGGAGTTTTTTTTTATGTTAGTGCTTACAGATCAAGTTCAAGGCCTGCGGGATGTTCAACTCCCAACATCAAAAAGTGTTAGAGTAAAAAAACACAAAGAGAAAGAAAAGGCTACAAAAACACGACTGTAGGAGCCAATTAACTGTGGGTATAAAGGTAGGAACCTATGTGTGTTGGGGAGAGGTTCCGCAGGAAGGCCCATACAGTTTTTGAACACACACGGAGAACACACACGGAGAGCACACACGGAGAACACACACGGAGAACACACACGGAGAACACACACACAAACACGGGATTACAAGCAAAGCAAAGTTATTGTGTAAACGGTAATATCGTGTGGTGAATATCGAAAGAAGCAAGTAAATGGAAACCAGTAAAATGGAAATAAATGGACTGCTTCAAACTGGAAACTTTGTTTCTGACCTTTATTCGGCAGCAAACTTGTGTGCGTCAATTACACCCACCAAGCGGATCCTCAGAGGCTTAAAGCGTTGGCTTAGCCTCTACACAAGACAATGTGCCTTTATCTAAGTCAAGCCATTAAACTCTGCAAACTCAACATCTCAACTTTGTGCATATTAACAAATCATAGAATAAACTATTTTAAGTCAGAGCTATAAACTACTTGAACACAAATAAAGTGGAAGTGCATGCAATCAAAAAGTCTCGTCCCTGTCTCTTCTGTGAGATTACCTGCAGAGAGTTCCACCAACTTAAACTCAAAGGGAATCCCGATAACTTTGGCCAACAGGAAGACGGAGCGGCAGGGCTGGGAGTGCAGGTCGAGGTAGAGCTCCATCCTGTCAGAGTCTGAGGCTGCTGTGCTGTGAGTTCAGCCCTCTCCCACCCCGCCTGTTATCCTCCGTCCGACAGGAACTCCGCCTCTCCTCGCTGTGAGGCTCCTTGATTTTTAAACGGTGGCGACAGTTAAAAGTAAGCAGGCCGTCGTGGTTGAGCGGTCCGACCTTTGGCCTCCGCTTTGCTCAACATTTTGTAAACATTGTGGAGATTATCACATTTGTATCTGCTTGCCGTTCCCCTAGTCTGTAAATAATTGTCCTCTTTGTAATGAGTTTACAGCAAATCATATGGATAAAAAAGATAAAGATAAAAATATGTTATTGTCATTTGATGAGGCTGGCTTTGGCTTAGGTAAGGGAAAGGGATCTAGGGCTGAGGGAATCGTAAAGTTGACTTTAATTAAATGTATTATGTCAACAAATTTCACACAACTGAATTAGGTTAGTTGAAAGTAATAATATCAAGTTGAACCTGTAATATTTTTTATTAAACTTAATATGATTGCTTTCAACTAACCTAATACAATTATGTGAAATCTGTTGACATAATACATTTAATTAAAGTCAACGTTTCAGTTTTTAAATCAGAATTTCAAATCAGAGGGTTGGTATGTTTGTGAAATGCAACTATGGCATTTTTTTTTGCATTGTGCAAAGTGATTTTGTACGTTTTTTGAGTAGACATCTTGCTGAAACAGATGTTAGCTATGAGAGTCCAGAGGAAAATATATTGTTTTCTTGTTGCAGTCATTTTGTAATCCCTTTGAATGGAAGAGGATTAGTTCCACATGTGAACAGCACCTTTCACCATTGATTTAAGTAATCTGTGAAAATGTTACTGTGGTTACCTATTTGTGTTGGTTCATGTTATAACAGATGAAAGACTTACAAAGAAGGTTTTGTTCCTGTCGAGTTTAAATGATGTGTGTTTTATACATAAATATGTGTCGGGGAACTCACGCAGCGTCTGGGCCGGGGTGCTCTGCCGGCCGGACCTACATTTCTTCTTCTGCGTCTTCCTGTTCATGTGCCTCAGCAGCAACTCCGTCAGCTTCTGGTGTGTCTCATGGCAGAGCATCCTCTACTGTGTGAGGGTTTTGAGCTTCTCCTCGATTCTCTTCAGGGCGATCAAGATGAACCTCTCCACCATCCTGAACGTCGCCCTGCTGGTGACCCTGCTGACCTCTTGCGTGATGTTCACCCCTTTCTTCTACCTCAATTTCCAAACCAAAATTCTTGTTCTTAACGTCACAGAAAAGGCTGTTTATGCCATCAAAAAGCCTCTGTTCCCAGTCTGGGTCAACGTTAACGGTTACGTAGTTACCTTCATCTGCTACCTCACACTGATGCCCTCTGCAGTCATGCTTCCTACCTCTCTGAGGATGGTGGTGTACCTCTGCAGACACAGCTGGTCCCTGCAGAGGAAGGAGAGCGGCTGGTCCCATGTAAAAGACTGTATCATTTAAAATGATACAAATGTATAAACTTCTATTTATATAAATATATATAATACTGTGTTATATTACTGTAAACCACACTATATGAATATAAGATTGAATTTGTAAATGTCCCCCTTTAATCATAACCACACCACACGTTTCAGCTAAATTGGTCCGGGAATCTTCAGGGAACGTTCCCGGTTCCCTAAAGATTTATACAATAACCTTTAGATTACTTTCAGGCAATGTTCATTTGATCGTTAGAAGTAATGTTACCTAACAGCTCTTTAAAGTTTGTATTTTTTCCCAAATACATTTCTGAAAACGTTCTGGAAATGTTTCCGATTATTGGAATAATCTTTGGGGAACTTTCTCTAAAGATTCCATATTTAACCTATTGGGAACGTTCTAGTCTTTGGAAGGCTAGACATTTTTTTTTGAATTTATTATTATTATTAATAAATTATGTATTTTTGTACACAGTTTGATGTGGAAAATACCTGACAGATATTTTCTTGCCTTTTCCAGTTATTACAATTATTATTTTAGACATTAGACGTTTTTATTGCATGGCGATGACATACTGAGAAGCAGAGGTGGGAAGTAGTCGAGTACAAATATTTCGTTACTGTACTTAATTACATTTTTCTGGTGTCAGTACTTTACTCCACAACTTATTTTTCTGACGACTTTTTACTTTTATTTCTTACATTTTGAACACAAAGACCTGTACTTTCTACTTCTTACATTTACCAAACAAGCTGGTTCCTTTAGTTTGAATGTGGTGGCGTGATCATTATTATTTAGAGTCATTGCGTGCCTATTGATTTGAACACGATCCGTGTATCCATCATTTCCTGGTCTTCTCTAAAGAAGAGGGACCAATGAAAACGTTGTCATGTTGCCGTTATTCAGCATGGAAACATTCATTAGCTAACAATGACATTATTGTTCTATTAATATAAAGGGAGGTCAGGTACTCTTTGAAACAGCTGCTAGTTATGGGTACTTTTTAGTTAAAGTGGACCTATCATGCAAAATGCACTTTTGTACGTCTTTTATACATGAATATGTGTCCCCGGTGTCAGGGAACTCACCAAGTGTCAGAAAATACAACCCTCTCTCTTTTCCTCCGTACCCAAATCTTTTAAAAAACGGGGCTACAACATACAGATTCCATCCGACCCAACGTCAGCCCGGAATAGTGTCCGTTCACACGAGACCGCTCGAAAGTGACATATGCCAGGCCTGTAAGTGGCGCTGTAGTCTGCCACAAAAGTAGCGAAGAAGACTTCCCGCGCATGGTTGCCATGGTTGCCCTTCTGTTTATTCTCCGCTGTGGACGCTCTGGCTCTTTTTCTCCCTCCCCGAGGCAAGCGTTTGCTCCTGCTGCTGTAATTCAATGCAATCCCTCCCCGTCGAGGCAAGCACTGTAATTCTCTCCGGTAGTCCACCAGCAGATGACAAACACCCACCTCTCCGTCTCTTTCAAGGGATGAGGGACCGTGCGGCAGAGTTTCAGTTAGATTTTTTTCCGCCGGTCAACATGTCCGTTAAAGTTTAAATCTTCCGGACAAGATTTGAAAAGTGCCGGTCAAAGGTCTTCTTTGTTATTTATTGAACTTTAAAACAAATGAATAACGACTCTATATAATCATATAAGAATAATACACGGAGGACGGAGCCTCTCTTTTCCTCCCCCTCTTCTGAGAGCCCAGCAGCTGATCTCTGAGCACGCCCCCTCTCCTGCAGGGGGGCGTGGTCAGCTGCAGCTCATTTGCATTAAAGCTACGTCACAGAATCAGCCCCTGCAAAAACAGGGCTGGAAAAGAGCAAATAGAGCGAAATGAGGCATGGCTAAAATGCATGATCTGTTTGGTATTTAGAAAAAAAATGGAAAAAAAACTTCACAGACATGTTTTATATAGGCATGGTCCTACAATATATTTTTCACATATAGCATGATAGGTCCACTTTAAGTACAACTCACAGGGCTCCTAAGCCCATACTTCTTTACTTTTACTTGAGTAAAGATGTTTAGTCAGTACTTCTACTTTTACCAGAGTATTTTTTAAACACGAGTATCTGTACTTCTACTTGAGTAAAGGATGTGTGTGTACTTTTGCCATCTCTGGTGAGAAGTAACAAACACTTTATATTTATTTGGGATTATATTATTATTATTATAAATTCATTGCAATTAGTATTTTATTGACTGTCTTTTAAATTGAAATGCAGATGTTGTGTTCTATTTGAACAATGCACACTATTAATAAATTACATAATTGGTTGATAAAATCATCTGATTGACGATGTGTGTGGTGTGAGACTTTCTATGTTTTTCAATGTTATTGCAGTTCCTCCTGATCACCAACAGAGGTCAATAAAGGCTCTGATATCTTGATGACTCCCTGAAGTTCACATAGGTTCAGTGTGTGTGTGTGTGTGTGTGTGTGTGTGTGTGTGTGTGTGTGTGTGTGTGTGTGTGTGTGTGTGTGTGTGACAGACTGTGATGGTTGTAGAAGGTCAAGGTCAACAGGGGTCAATGAATCAGACTGACTGACTGCCTTCCAACAAAGTCCAAAGAATACTTATGTATCTAGTAATACCTTACGGGGTTTAAAAATCAAAACATACATACCTACATTTTATAATATGTGCATTAAATGTATGGAGAGCTAAGTAACTTTAAAAAGGCTTTATCATTTTAACAATCACCAATAATGTATACTGACAATTTTATTTTGTATCAATATGTCCCTCTTTGAGCACTTTCCAGTGATTAAGAGAAACAACCCTGATAAAAATCTTAAAAACATGTTCACTAACCAGTATGACAGAAGACAAAAGTGTACGATTCCTTAATCCAAAGCAAAACAAAGTGAGGAACTGTGCTCAATACCCTGGCTAGCTAAGAGGACAGGTTAGCCCAAAACAGGTACATTCGATAAACTCTCATTTGAACTATGAATAATAATTTATGATCAGTATGTTCTTCAGAAATGCAATTTTATCTTAATTGACTAGCAATTTTCAAACATTTAATGCATATTAATGATAACTATAACAGAATTTATGGCACTTTTTTTAGATCTACTCATAGGAAACAATATGATATACCGATATTTTTCTGTCCCATCTGACTTGAGTCATTTACAAAAATGTTCAATTTGATAAACTTGGCGTCTGATCAGTTTTCACCAAACTATCCCTCAAAATCAGTTTGAGAGAATTGAAAAAGAAAGCACCATGCAGTTGCATAATTCTGCTTTCCTTTACAGTTTATAGGTGATTTGGAAAGGTAACATCATCTATGTTAGACTTGCAGTGCGGACCTGTTCCACCATTCAGGCAGAGAGAGTCATTGTACAAACATGTGGGATTTTATTAAGCAGACCGGTAGCATTTAGAAAACATTCACCAACTTGATCAAACATGCACAGCATTTACAAAAAAAAACCTGAAAAAAAATAAACGCTGCAAGAATTTCAAAACCCAACGGAAACGGGGACACTAAAATGTGACGCACTCAGCTGGGACTGGAGCTCTTGTTGATGTTTGGGGATTATTTAGTTGCCCAAATGTCACTGTTGGCAGAGTCAGAGTTTTTCATGATTATAAGTTGTCAGGTTTGGGGAAAATAGGACCCAAGTGCAGTTAAAAAATACAAAAAAAAGGTTCGTTAACAAAAAGCGAGCTTTATTATAAAAAGCCGAAGGCATGAAAAAACAAGAAATTAATTAACAGAAACAAAACCGGGGAGCACGACAGACAGGAACAAACTTACTTACTCGAACGGACATCCCGGGGCAAAGCATAATCCATGGAGGGAATCTCGGACGGACGGCCCGGGGGGGGGCAAGGCAGAGTTCGAGGAGGGGGTCTCGGGCGGGCGGCCTGGGGGCAAGGCAGAGTTCGAGGAGGGGTTCTCGGGCGGACGGCCCGGGGGCAAGGCAGAGTTTGAGGAGTCAGGGGCCGGGCTCGAGGGCGAAGACCACGGCTGGGTAACTCAGGAGGCCGGGCTTGAGGGCGAAGGCCGCGGCACTCAGGGGGCCAGGCTCGAGGGCGAAGACCGCACAGCTCCGGAGGCTGGACAGGACCCGGTGGGACAGGCGTAGACGGGATCCTGGACATGACCTGGGCTGGTGTCAATGGGACCACCAACGCAACAGGGCAAGGAGTAGGCAGGGCCCCCGGCGGAAGAGGACAAGGAGTTGGCAGGACCCCCGGCAAGACAGGTGACGGCGGGGCCTCCAACGGGGCAGGACACAGGGTTGGCAGGACCCCCGGCAGAAGAGTAGTCGGCGGAGCCCCCAACGGGACAGGACACAGGGTTGGCAGGACCCCCGGCAGGAGAGTAGTAGGCGGGGCCCCCAACGGGACAGGACACAGGGTTGGCAGGACCCCCGGCAGGAGAGCAGTAGGCGGGATCCCCAAAGGCACAGGACATAGGGTTGGCAGGACCCCCGGCAGAAGAGTAGTCGGCGGGGCCCCCAACGGGACAGGACATAGGGTTGGCAGGACCCCCGGCAGAAGAGTAGTCGGCGGGGCCCCCAACGGGACAGGACATAGGGTTGGCAGGACCCCCAGCAGAAGAGTTGTCGGTGGGGCCTCCAACGGCACAGGACATAGGGTTGGCAGGACCCCCGGCAGAAGAGTAGTTGGCGGGGCCACCAACGGCACAGGACATAGGGTTGGCAGGACCCCCGGCAGTAGAGTAGTCGGTGGGGCTTCCAACGGCACAGGACATGGAGTTGGCAGGACCCCCGGCAGAAGAGTAGTCGGCGGGACCCCCAACGGGACAGGACATGGAGTTGGCAGGACCCCCAGCGGAACCGCCAACGGCACTTGAGTAGGGACTTGAGTAGGGACTTAAGTAGCGACTAGAGAAGGGACTTGAGTAGGGATTGGAGAGGGGACTTGAGATGGAACTCGAGAGGTGACTTGAGAGGGGACTCGAGAGGGAACTCGAGAGGACCCTCGAGAGGTGACTTGAGAAGAGACTCGAGAGGTGACTTGAAAGGAGG